CCACTGGATTCCTTAACAGGAGATTTTATATTACTAAACAGGATGGAAGAGCATTCCCTCAGCCCTTAGTTGGTCATTAACATCTAATCCAGTGTTCACACTTCCTGTGCATATCAGTTACTATTGGTAAAATTCTATTTAACTGGTTTCTGTTCACTAGTTACTTATGCTAGTCAAATGATACCTTATACAAAGGTTACTTTGCCCACATAACTGTATGAATTTGCCCACATTGAGTTCCAAATATTTCTAAATTTACACTGTAATTTTCTTTTTTCACCTTTGATCCAAAGGTCATTCAGAATATATTAATTTCCAAACCAATAAGATTTTCTAATTATTTTTTCCCTATTGATTTCAAGCTTAATCTCATTTGTTCAGGAGATATACTCCTTAGAAATTTGTTAAATTTTCTTTATGTACGTGTTTTGTTTATGTATATAAAAATAATTTGCATTATACTCTGTGTATATTCATTAGGTCAAGTCTGTTACCTTGCTGTCCAGTTTTTCTACATTCTTACTGATGTCTTTGTTTTGTCTGTGCCAAAAAGTGACAAAATCTGTGATTCTGAATTTGTCTACTTCTCTTTGTTGTACCTTCTGTTTTTGCTTTAGATCTGTGCTATTTTTGAGTGTGTGTGTTTGTATAACCAGCAAAATGATGGCATTATCATCATTATTGTTACTACTACTATAGTCAGTATCCATTTAGATTTACTCATTTATCACTTTTTTTTTCTTTTTCTGTGTCAGTGACCCTCATCTGGGACTATTTTTCTTTTTTTTTTTCTTTTTTTTTAATTTTTATTTATTTATGATAGTCATACACAGAGAGAGAGAGAGAGAGAGAGAGAGAGAGAGGCAGAAACACAGGCAGAGGGAGAAGCAGGCTCCATGCACCAGGAGCCCAACGTGGGATTCGATCCCAGGTCTCCAGGATTGCGCCCTGAGCCAAAGGCAGGCGCCAAACCGCTGCGCCCCCCTGGGATTCCTGGGACTATTTTTCTTATGCCTCAATTTCATCCTGTTATATCTGAAATCTGTTGTTGACAAAGTCTCTGGTTTTGTTTACCTGAAAATATTGTACGTTGCTTTCATTCGTGAAGAATATTTTTGCTGGGTGTAAAATTCTACATTGGCTGTTTTTTCAGTACTTCAAAGATAGTACTACTTTGTTTTGTTTTGTTTTTTGGATAGTACTGCTTTTGTCTTCTGATTCTTGTTTCTTGTGAGAAGTCAGCTGCCAGTCTACTGGTTGCTCCTGAAGTAATGATCTTTTCTCCTCTGGCTCCTTTTCTTTGGTATTCAGAAGTTTTACTAAAATGTTCCTAGGTGTAGATTGTTTTTTTTAATACTGGTCATAATTTGTAGGATTTCTTTAGTTTGTCACAGTTCAATTGTTCTTCATCAGTTTTGCAAAGTTCTTGGCAATGAGCTCTTCAAATGCTGCTTCTGCCTCTTCTATCTCCTCTCCCTTAGGACTTGAGTTACTCAGATCATCTCACCATATCTGATGTGCCTCTTAACCTCTCTTTTGTATATATCTTTTTGTCTCTCCATGCTTTGTTCTTGGAAATTTCTTCCCAGAATGTTTCATTTAACAATGAAGCTTGAGAAGTCAGTGGATCAGTCATCAGTCAGTTGATCCACTGACTTCTCAATTTCCATCATTATATTTTTCAGCCTGAGTTATTCATCTGATTCTGTTCTTTTTTATAGTTTCTGGTTCTCTAAAAAATGTTCAGTACTGTCTTTTGTCATCTTGAGCATGGTAAGCATAGTTATTTTATTATCTCTGATAATTCCAATATCTGGATTCCTGCACGTCTGTTTATTTTCTATGTTGTTTTGCTGTTTCTAATTCTTGTTATCTTGGTTCCTTTTGTGTCTGGTTAATTTTTATTTTGCTCCTAACATTATACTGGCAAAATCGTTTATAGACGTGACTGGAGAGCCAGGTTTATGTAATCTTTCTCCAATAAAGATTTACCTTTGCTCCTTTTAGGCAGCTAAGAGCACTAGTATTCCAAATCAACTATTCCAATTTCAGATTCCTGTGAGGGACTGCCTATGTCTGACTCACCTCATTGCTAGCGACAGCCTTTTCAGATCCCAGCCCAAAATAAGGGGGAAATACCCATGACCTCCTCCTTTTCAGGCCTTACACTCTGATCTCTTTCCTCCTAGCCCCATGAAGCTATCAAAGCCTCTACTCAGATCCCATCCACTTCCTCTGGAGTTGGCTGACTCTCCTGGGAAAAGGAAACCTCAAACCTGGAAACCTCCATAGCATTCTCCTCCGAGATTCTGGCCCCATAATTTAATTCTTCACTGTCTTTAAGCAGATGTTTTTAAAGCTGCCACAAATGTGATGAGAAAAGCCAGGTGTGTGCTATGCAGAATAATGGCCTCTGCATTTCAGCACCAGTTCTCTGACACTAACGGAGTTCAGTTCAATTCTAACACTGACTACCTGAGCAGCCAGATGAAAAGATGCACATAGTGACAAGGTCTAGAAAGTCTGGGCATCTGGAGAGCAAGAGCTTCTGTTCTCATGGAGTCAGGGTACATCACCCTCCCCATATGTTCACCGCAAGGGATATGTTCACCGCAAGAGAGCTCATTGGAGCCTCAGTGTCTGAGTTTTTTAAATAAGGCTTTAGATACATAAGCATGATTGGTTAAATCATTAGCCCATGTTTAGACTCAACCTCCAGCCTTCCTCTCCTCCTCTGAGGTCAGACTGCTGAAAATCCCACCTCTCTAATCCTGTGGAGGGTTTTTTGATATCTACCCCCCATTCTGAAGGGATGCTGGGAGCTGGGAATGAGTCACCTCATTAGCATAACAAAGACACTCCTACCACTGAGGAAATTCCAAAGGTTTTAGAAGTTCTGTGCCAGGAACCTGGGACAAAGTCCGGAAAGAGAGAGAGATTTTATTATTATACCACAGCCCCCCAAGCTTATCCATGCCCTCAACCCAGAACCTGTAAACATGTTATGTTACATGGCAAGGTAGAATGAAGGTTGCCGATGGCGTTAAGGTTCATGACTGCTGAACTTAAAATAAATGGGTTATCCTGCATTATCCAGATAGGTGCTTTGTAAATTTAAGAGTCCTTCAAAGGGAAAGAGAAATGCAGTAGAGTCAGAACCAGAGAGAGGATATCATTTGAAAGACTCATGGGCCATTACTGGCTTTCAAGATGGAAGGAGGCCACAAGCCAAGGAATGTGGGCAGCCTCTAGAGGGGCTGGAAAAGATAAAGTGGGTTCTAAGAGTCTCTAGAAAATAAGAGCCCTGCTGACACCTGGATTTTTAGCCCACCAAGACCCATCTCAGACTGCTGACCTCCAGAGTTCTATGAAAATAAATTTATGTTGTTTAAAACCATTAAATTTGTGGTGGTGTAGAAAACTGACCTCTGTGCTTCAGAACCAAAATATAACACAAAGATAAATTTATTGCTTTGCTGGGCAAAGGAGGCTGCAGCAGGCTATGGCCTTCGAAAACCACAAGCCCTTGGGGAGGAAAGGACTGGGGAATTTTATAGGGAAATACAGGATCTTGCAGGTTTTGACAGGAATCCTGTAGGTACTACCAGCCTCCTCCATCACGTCTTTAGGGTGGTACTAGGTTCCTGAAACAAAGGGATAAGAAGGGAGGAGGGGAGCTTTCTGGATGAGGGGGGGAAAGTGACTTTAAAATCGAGTTTTGGGATGCCTGGGTGGCTTAGTGGTTGAGCATCTGCTCAGGGCGTTGATCCCATAGTCCCAGGATCGAGTCCCACATCAGGCTCTGTGCAGGGAGCCTGCTTCTCCCTCTGCCTATGTCTCTGCCTGCCTCTCTCTCTGTGTCTCTCATGAATAAATAGATAAAATCTTAAAAAAAAAAAATCGAGCTTTGCTGAAGCATTAGTGCAGCCATTTTAACTTTTGTTAAACTTTGTGCTTTTAAGCGGTTTCAGTGGTAATCTGTGGTGGCAGGAATAGGAAATGAACACAGCAGAGCCTAGAAAAAAGGGGAAAAGTGGCATTTTTTTTTCATCATGGAAGGCAGCATGATAAATCTGTACTTGGAGCTTCTGGTATTGATGTTGAAAATTCACTTAGAATGCAAGTGACTTCACATTTTTCAAATCTCTCTCCTTGAATTATTTACTACTTCTTTTTACCTCCAGCCCTCAGTGGAGCTCCAAATTGCCTAATTATCTACAGAGGACTCTAACTCTTAATTAAAGTACATCTGTGTATCTGATAGGTAATAGATCAGAGAAAGTTACTCTTTACTCTGGTAAGCAGGATACATTTGACCTCCTTGATTCATCCAGTGATAATTTGTTACCTTCAGCAGACCAGGATCTATGCCAGCATAGTTTTATACTTAAAAGAAGTTATGATCTAATGCATGGTACAAAACTTAATTGGCCCAGAGGGAGAAATTTCTTGCTAGGCTCTTTCTTAAGAGTCACTGACACCTACAGGAGGTGTTGTAACTCTACTTACAAATGTTAATATCTTTTTCAGAAGCACAAACTGATATGATGATGGTGGTGGTGGTGGTGGCCATGGTGGCAGCTGATGCTTATGGAGCACTTACTATGTGCCAGGGCTGTCCTTAGGCTTTATGTTCTTCATTGCAATTCATCTTTACCATTCTCCTGCTTCTTTCTATTAAATTACTCTTTCTGTTACTTTATAACCATCTTTCCATAAATACACATAAACTCAGTGGTTACGTATTTCAGTTATGTACTTTTTAGTTTTATACGGTTCCTGGTGAATCCTAAAATATAATAAAACAAAATTTTAGCTAAATGCACAAGAACTCCCAATCTTGAAGGGAAAGGGAGAATAACTACTTTATTCACAAGTATGCCTGAGAAATTAGAGGCACTGAGCTTAATTTGACACAATTAACACTAATTACATGTTAGCATCCTTAGTTTGGGATTTTTCTCCAGTGAAACTTATCATTTGCTGATTTATTTCTTTAGGAGCCATATTATGTACGTTGCATCAAACCGAACGACAAGAAATCTCCACAGATATTTGATGACGAGCGCTGCCGGCACCAAGTAGAATATCTTGGGCTACTGGAAAATGTGAGGGTGCGGCGGGCAGGGTTTGCCTTCCGCCAGACATACGAGAAGTTTCTTCACAGGTGAGAACAGACTAAAGAACTCTGACATTGACAGTTCCAGAGTCATCCCCACGTATGACAGTGCATCAACGCATATTAGTCTAAGTACTTGTCAAATGAATAAGAGTCAAGAGAACTGCAAATATGAAAGACTTTCTTAGCAAAAGAGTCTCCCTGAGTTTATGGTTTATGGACCATGAGAAAAGATTCATTCTTTGGGGGGAAAATATGGGCATTGTAGTTTGGTAGAAAGAACCTGGACTCAAAAGTTATATCTAGGTTGGAATACTGGGTATGTTACTCATTTGCTGTGTGATCATAGGCTAGGAATTTAATATCCTTGGCTCTGTTTCTCCATCGGTAAAATGTATTTAATAACATTACATCATAAGGCTGTTGTTGCGGGGAGTAAATTAACCTAAATAAAAAAGCCAGGTGCCTGGCACAAAATATATGTTCAATTAATGCTACTTATCCTTACTGATATTAGTAATTACCATAATAACAAAGTATTAAGGAGTTTAATCATGGAGACCATGGAGTTAGTCTACCTGATTTGAATCCTGGCTTTGCCATTTCTTGGTTTTTTGACCTTAGGCAAATCACACTATCTTTCCATGCCTCTGTTTCCTCCTGTGTTAAAAAGGGGTTAATAATAGTAACTACTTTTAGGCTTGCTGGAGAAATAAATGAGAATGTGTGTGTGTGTGTATGTGTGTGCGTGCACGCATGTGTGTTTGTGTGTGTGTGTATAAAGCAGTTAGAATGGAACCTGGCCTGTAGCAATCACTCAATATATGTAAGATATCGTTGCTGCTGTTATTTATTGTTAGTAATGATAATGATAGTTGACAACTGGGACTTCCAAAGTCCCTCATATTCCATCTGTTCATTTATCTCTAAATACTTATTGAACATTTCCTGTGTTCTAGACTACAGATTCCACAGAATAAGAATATATAGATAAAATATTGGGTACTCAGAAGAGTCTCTAAGAAGATAATAATGGCAGGAAAGAACCAGCCATATGAACAGCAGAGGGAACAGCAGATGGGCAGAAGGAACAGGGAGGGAGAGGCTCCACTGTGGTAGTTAAGTGTGGTGTGTTAGGTAGCAAACTTAGCTGTGTGGTTGGAGGCTGCTCAGTGACAGGGCAGGGGTATGAGATGAGATCAGAGAGGTGGACAGGGGCCAGATCATGTTGAATTTTATAATCCAGACTAAACTGTTTAGATTTTGGCTAAATGTGGCAGGAGCCCATTGGTGGATTTTAAGCAGGGAGCAACCCAATCTTATGGATATTTGTGGAGATACTGTGGCTTCTATGTGAATAGGAAGCAAGGAGACATTTAGGGATGTTACTACAGGAGCCCAGGAGAGGGGCCTTCCTAGTGACTTGAACAAGAGCTTATTATAGATCCAACGATAGCAGATCCAGGTTATGTTAGGGGAAGGTTAACCAGGCTTGCTCATGGATTGGCTAGATCAGAGAGGAACAGAGAGGAGTGAGGGATTATGATTAGATTTTGGTGTGGGTGAGCTTACACCATTTGCTAAGATAAGATTGGGTAACAGAAGCTTGAGGAAGAGGTCATGGAACAGGGGCAAGGATGGAATCAGAATTTGTCTCCTGAGTCTTGGGTTTGAAATGGCTACTAAAAATCTCGGTAGAGATATTAAGTGAGCTATTAAAAACACATATCTGGAGTTCCAGAAAGAAGCACAGATTGGAGATATACTGGAGTCATTAGTGTGGAGATGATATATAAATTCTTAGAACTGTATAGAGAAGAGAAGGAGGCTCCTTCAAATATTTAGGTTTGTGATCTGATATGAAGGAATCACCAAAGAGAAGAAAAGAAGCAACCAATGAGAGAAGACATACTAGAAGAGGATTATGTCACAGAAGCCAAGATAAGATGGCATTTCAAGAAGAAAAGCGTAGTTACCATCTCACATGTTGCTGTGCAGTCAAGTAAGATAAAGGTAGAAACTTCAGCATTATATCTGGCAACATAAAGACCAGGGGCAAAAAGTCTGGGCAGAACCCAATTTGAACAGGTTGGGAAAGTGAAGAGAGAAGCTGGATGCCTATAGACAACTTAAAAATTTGTGCTGGGAATGAGGGCAGGGAAGAATGGAAGCAGGAGTGGGATGTGAGGTCAGAAGACATCACATTCTAGGAATGTGTATGCAGGTGGGGCTGATTCAGAACAGAGGGAGAATCCAGTGGTGCAGGAGAAAGGGAGATCATGGTGATTATCATGATATCCCTGGGAAGGCGAGGCCCAGAATCCCACACACAGGTAGAAGGTTTGTTAGCATTTGGTAAGAGCAGGGATGCTTCCCCCATAGCAACAGGACAAAAGGCAGAGAATATGAATACAGATGCAGAAAGGCTCAAAGATTGGCTGATGGCAAAGATGATGTTCTGATTGGATTGCTTCAATTTCCTTAACCAAGCATGAGGTGAGGCTAAGAGTGGGGAGTAAAGATAAGGAGAGGTGCTGTGGGAGGTTTGAGGGGAAATGAGAACAGTCATTTAAGAGAGTGGGAAAGCACAGGTTTGTATGGTAGGATTGTTGTCAGGAAGATCTGAGAGTCCTTGTGAGATACGATGCTATAAATTGAGACCACCAGCATTATTGTTTTTTCCACCAATGTCCAGCCGCTTTTGCACAGAACTGAAAGGGATTGCACTAAATTGAGACTCTTAGAATGAATAAAACACAATAGCCTGGAAAATTCGAACTTCATTTTACACTGATCAAAAGGTTATGCTCAAAATTGGCCATTTGCCTTATTAAAATCATATTCTTTAGATTTGATTTTTCATTTGCTTATTAAGGCTGAAGAGTTGGAATGTTTTTGTGAGCAGAAATGTGTTCATCCTGAGTCTCGATTTCAAAGTGTCAAATTATGTTAGAAAGATTGCTAGTCTGTTGTTATTACCATTAGAATTCTAGCAATTGCTCAGTAAGTTGGTTTTTGAATAATTTGGTTTTTTATTATCACCCATAAAAAATCAACAGAAGTTAAATATTGAACTGAGCAGGGTAGAATTGTGTAACTATAGGGTGGGGCTGACCCGAAAATATTTTATCATGAGACAAAGGGAATCCATGGAGAGTAGCTGAGGTAGGAGAACAGTAAGCAAGCCTGATTTGGAGGAGACAAGGAATTTTATAAATGCATACATATCTTTAACATTTAATTCAGGAGATTTTGGTGTGTTTGTTTCTTGGTATGGGAGACATGCTATAAGGATTGGAATATGTTTTCTAACATACACATAAAAATACAATAGAAAAGATTAAAAAGAACCTGTGAATTTTAAATATGGTGGTCTTAGTGGCATAAGCTTAAATTCATTTCTACTCCAAAAGCATAACCAAATAATGTAAATTATATAAAACCAAGAAAATGCACAGCCACATTATGGAATCAAGAAGGGCGTTTCACAGTGAACCTTGGATATGTAATCCCTCCTAAATATGATGTGAAGCAGATGTGAAGACCCAGTTGTAAGCCAGGGTCACAGTTTTAAGGAAAGACTGCCTTTGCCATTCAGGAAACCATCCTGAATATACTGTTTCTGAGAAGTTTGCCACAGCTACAGCACCAGGAGGTAGCTGCAATGGTCAGGACAAGTGACACCTCCATAGCTGCAAAGGGGACATTGTAGGCATGATGGCCAACACCCAGGAAGCAAAAGTAGCCATGTTTTAAAAGACCAACCAAAGCTGGGATGTACACAGAAGGACATGTAGAAGTAGACAAGATAACAGCAAAACGTCTGAGAAAGACCAGACCATGAAAAAGAGACAGTTAGCTCAATAAATATCAAACCTTACCCCCAAGGAACCAGAGCAAGGAGTAAATGGCACTGGAATAAGCCTACTTAATATTTTCAGAGATATAAAGGAGAAAATTATGATCCTAGAATAAGAATATGAAGTCAGAAACAAGAACAGGTAATTACTGGAAAGAATAATTAGAGATTTGGAAAATGAAAATCAGATTAAACACAACTGAAGAGAGCATTGTCCATCAGTAGGAGAATGAGTCAGCAACATGTCGTATGATTACAGTGCCAGCTAAGGGGATGAATGGCTGATGTAGCAACATAAATGAATGACACATCATGTCAAAAAAAGATAGTCATGAAAGAATATATCCTTCATGCTGCCACTTATGTGGAGTTCAAGAACAGATAGCCATCAGAACTGTGGTTGGTTCCGGAGTGGAGTGGGGGAACTGACGGGAAAGGAGAAGGAGGCACTCTCTGAGATTATGCAGATGTTCTGCATCTTGATGGGGTGTCAGTTTCATGGGTGTATACATTTTTCAAAATTTGTTGAACTGTATACCTGAAGGTGTGCCTTTACTGTATGTAAATTTTACCACAATTTAAAAAAATTACAGTAAACCTTTTTTTAAAAACAAATTGGTAAACTGGAAGATCAAGTTGAAGAGTTTTTGCAGATCTCATCACAAAGTAAAAGAGATGGGAAATGCTGAAATTCAGGCAGTGTGTAAGGTCGATCCAGAAGTGCCAGCACTTGTTCAACAGGAGCATCTAAAGGAAAGAGAGAGAAGAGGGGAGGAGCACTATTTGAACAAATAGTGGCCAGGAATTTTCCTGAACCAGAAAAAGACAACAGTCTTCAAATTGAAAGAATATACTGAGTGTAAAGCATGTGAATCCTTAAAAAATGAAACATACCTTATGGTCACTTTTAGAATGTTAGAGATAAAAGAAAATACTTAGAGCTCCCAGGAAAAGACAAAGTACTACCAGGGAGTGAGAATCATACAGACATCAGACTTCTCATTAGCAGCATTTGATGCAGACAGACAAAGCAGCAATATCTTCATAGTGACAGGGGATGAACTTAATGCTTAGAATTTTATTCTATGCTGGGGATGCCCGGGTGGCTTAGTCGGTTAAGCAGCCAGCTCTTGATTTAGGCTCAGGTCATGATCCCAAGCTTTGGGCTCCATACTCAGTGGGGAGCTTG